AGCATTTTCATGAAACGCTGGGCGATTTTGCTCATGGAGCAGTTAGCACGCAAAATGTGCAAATGACTACTAAAGATTTGCGAAGGTAAGAATCATCGAAGTTGGAGTGCTTATTACTGTGTGGTCTCGTATGAATGCAAAAAAACAAAATCAGAAAAGCCTGCCAACTTGAAAGTCACATGAAGAATTTTTTTTGGAAAAAGGAAGCAGCTTGAAAGGCTCAAAACTTTGAAGAGTAGACCGGGGCTGAAGGTGCTGAAGATTTGATCCTTAGAACTTTTTATTGTTTGGATAAAAGATTCAGTAAGATTTCTGGGAAGCTTCAGACGTAAAGATCTTAGCCCTATGTTCTTTTCTTCGTTTTCCTCCTTTATTTCTAATTATGTAACAAACACAATATTTTGGATATTTTCGTCCAAGTCTACTTTCATAAAAAAACTATATGTTGTGAAAATTTTTCGAATAGGTTTTGGCTCAATTCCAGATGCATCGTCAAACTCAGCTGTCTCTATCCACCTACACCGTCAAGACTTCCTCCAGAAATAGTTTGTTCTGCAGAACGAAATCCGAAGTTTAGACAAGAAGGCGATATTTGGTAAGTAAGAAAAGTCTAAATGATTTAGTTGATTATTCATGAAAATCTGTTGCAGGATGTTTGGTTTACTGTGCTGGGAATGTCTGACATTAGGAGCCGAGCCGCATTATCAAAGGACTAGTGAGGAAATTCAGCGGTCAGCAAAATAAAAATAAAAATACAAAAAAATCGATTCATTTTTTATAACCCTTAATTTTTCAGGTGCTTCCGTCTTCCTGACCGCGGTCTTACATGCCCACAAGGGTGCCCGTTAGACGTGTAAGTTTATTCATTCAATGAAATTCAAACTTTCCTTTTTCTTCTTAAGAATAATTCGCGTCTGACACTATATTCTGCAAAGCATAAATTTCTTCAGATGGTCCCTGGTCATGGAATGTCTTTCGGAAGCGCATCGTCGTCCACGTTTCACTGGTGCCACGCCCGATCTTGTTGAACGAATGCAAATGCTACGCAATTATTACGCGCAATCGATGGATTGTCTGCATCCGGTGCCAAATATAGGCAATTGTACAT